TCATTCAAACCCATAAGAAATTGATAAGCTCTTTGCCTCATCCTCAACTGATTTGGCCCCACAAGTACAAACTCTTGCCCTACCAGCAGAGATGGAGGCAATTTCATCCCACAACTGTTTTATTTTATTGAAATAAGATGCTATCCCGAGTGACCCTTGAGAGATATGTGCCAGTTCACTTTTCAACTCAAAAACTCTGGCACCATCAGCCTTACCATATCTCTCTTCTAATTCACTCCGTATGTTTTTACCAAATTCAGAATACTCTACACTTCGAGCAATTTCTTTAGACAATGAATTTATTAACTAAGATATTACGAGATCATTGCATCCCTGCTATTGTCTGGCTAAGGGTGACCCATAAGGAGGTCTCCCAGTTGTACCAGTTATGAAGTTAGTTTTGTTTCTGATAGACAAAGCAACTAAGACAGTGCGTCTCCAACTACCATAACAGGTTCCATCAAAAGTAGTGGAGACCAGAGAGGTCCCAAGCACATCAAAAGGATGAACATATAAGGGGTGACAGGGGTGGGTATAATCTTCCTCGTGAAACACAATACGTGAACTAGTGGAAGATACATGGGTTGACTGAATGGGATCGGAATTACCATTTGTCATACTGACAACAAAATAACAATCAGCTAAGATAATGAAATCAACAACAAAATATCACCAAAATAAGGGAGAAGAGAACACATATACCATCCTCTTTCGCAACCGGAAAGAGAACGACCTTCGATGATAAGAAAAATGAAGCTCAAAATCATAGCTCGAAAATAGTCTAATGCTTGAAGAATATCGATAAATTCTTCACATTAGGGACCGAAAAACTCCATCGCACAGATAAACCCACAGGAAACAGAGAAATCAATCAAAAAAAAACCCACCGAATCGACGAAAACAGTCGAACTTCAAAAACTCTGATGAAAGACGGCGAGGGTACAATCAATCGGAAGCGCAACACTAGACGAGCACAGATCCGTGCTATGATACTATGTTAACAACCAGGATTTTCATAGATTTCTAATAGAATAAGCAAAACCGAATTGTTGTTTTGTTACAACCGGGTCCTTCTCTCTATATATATAGCCCAATGCTGAGTAAAATAAAAGAGACTAAAAATGGACTATACCGGGCTAACTATGTTACAAAAGAAATGGGCCTAAATTAATGTACATAAATAAATAATGAATGTGCCTTAACCCGCATTTGCTTCAGCCCAGATCTAGACTCCCAACAGTTAGTTATAACATTAAGCTGATGGGAATAAATACATCAAATTAGAAAAAAATCTGATGGAAATAAATACATCAAATTAGAAAAATACAAGTATATGAAATCTAAGTTTTAAGTGACATGACATAAGCAAGTATAAATGACCATTATTTTTCTTTTGAGCTTGCACAAAAAAACTTCTATAACTCGGATTAAATTTCATATATGTCAATTTGATATGTCCACTTAATTCAGCAATACAAATATTTTGGGAGATGAAAACAAATATATTTGGAAATATTTTCTAACTTAAAAATATAGCGTGACAATGATAGGTAACAAGTAGTGTCTCCTAAAATCGCATTGAAAATATCACAAAATATATTAAAAGGTAATATATGCTACAATCGTATTTGAAGTAAAAAAAAATCTATAAGTTACCATACTAAATTTGTTTTCAACGTCACACTCTTTTGATAGAGGCTTAAATAACAAATTTACTTTGTGTTTCTTCTGTCCCAATTTATATACTAGTATACTTATTTTTATAGTTTATCATAGAAGAATCTTTTTTTAAAATATTTTTCTTAATAACATTTTATTTCTATATAAATATCTCTAGCATATTTAAAATCACACGAATTCTTTTTTAAACTCATCTAATATAACATCTTTCACATATGCCTCCATTTAGAACTAGAAAGATAATCAAATTGTATCTAGAAAATAGGTAGTGTAGTTTAGCGAGAAATTGGGAAAAAAAAGATGATTGAGACCTTCAGCGCATCGCAAGGGACACGCATCTGCTTAAGTGGCAAGCTGCTATATTCCCGTATCCATGGCGGTGACGCAAAATGCGGATTACAATATAGAGAAGGAGAATTGGCGTCTCAGTTGCCTTAGCAATTTTTCGGCGAAAGGTGTGCGCCTGACCACCCTTGGAGCATTGTAGCTCCGCCACTGGTCCAGCCTACCAAGCACCACTAGCTTCTTCACTGAAGGACCCTGTAGAGTGCAAGCAGCCTTGGTAAACTGTACAATATCAGCATCATGACACAACAACTTATAAACACTAATAAGATTGTATTGGAAACTAGGAATATAAAGCACACCGTGAATATTAAGATCAGGAAATAAGGATAGAGAACCAATATTAGTGACTTTGACTTTATATCCATTAGGAAGGAAAACTAGGTAAGGAACAAGTAAGGTTTGTATGTTGAAAAATAGGCTTTTAATGGAATTCATATGATCAGATGCTCCTGAATCTATTATCCAAACTATTCCATCTACTCTACTCAACATAGAGGCTCCATAGGAGGGGAAGAAGTAATTTGGGCCTGCTGCTGAAGTAACATCATCAGTTGGGAATACTGGTCCTTGGTAAGGCCAGGCACTGCAGAAGTACTCTAAGACTTAGACACATCAGCACCACACTCTATAGTAAAAATACCAAGCATGGTGTTGGATTCAAGCTCAACATGAGCAGTTAGGCCCCAAATTCTTTGCAGGTCTGAAATTGGGGGGACAACCATACAACTTATAACACCTGTCAATACAGTGACCGGGATTGTTTACAATATTTTCATACCACAGAAGACCTAATCGACTCAAAGGAAACCTTAGAAGAGAAGGTAGGCTTTGACACAACAATAGTGTTGGAAGTTGATGAAGAGTTCAATACACCAAAAGTGAAAGAAGCATAATTATAAGGAAACTACGTCCCAGTAGACTGTACCAACAGAAGGAAGATGCTTCTCATCAAACAAAAGAATATTGTAGACTGTACCAAATTTCATCATTAAAATGTTACTCCTGGTCTAAACATAAGTTTCATTCAAACCTATAAGAAATTGATAAGCTCTTTGTTCCTCATCCTCAACTGATTTGGCCCCACAAGTACAAACCCTTGCCCTACCAGTAGAGATGAGGCAATTTTATCCCACAACTATTTTATTTTATTGAAAGAAGATGCTATACCGAGTGACCCTTGAGAGATATGTGCCAGTTCCCTTTTCAACTCAAAAACTCTGGAACCATCGGCCTTATCATATCTCTCTTCTAATTCACTCCATATGTTTTTAGCAAATTCAGAATACTCTACACTTCGAGCAATTTCTTTAGACAATGAATTTATTAACTAAGATATTACGAGATCATTGCATCCCTGCTATTGTCTGGCTAAGGGTGACCCATAAGGAGGTCTCCCAGTTGTACCAGTTATGAAGTTAGTTTTGTTTCTGATAGACAAAGCAACTAAGACAGTGCGTCTCCAACTACCATAACAGGTTCCATCAAAAGTAGTGGAGACCAGATAGGTCCCAAGCACATCAAAAGGATGAACATATAAGGGGTGACAGGGGTGGGTATAATCTTCCTCATGAAACACAATACGTGAACTAGTGGAAGATACATGGATTGACTGAGTGGGATCAGAATTACCATTTGTCATACTGACAACAAAATAACAATCAGCTAAGATAATGAAATCAACAACAAAATATCACCAAAATAAGGGAGAAGAGAACATATATACCATCCTCTTTCGCAACAGGAAAGAGAACGACCTTCGATGATAAGAAAAATGAAGCTCAAAATCATAGCTCGAAAATAGTCTAATGCTTGAAGAATATCGACAAATTCTTCACATTAGGGACCGAAAAACTCCATCGCACAGATAAACCCACAGGAAACAGAGAAATCAATCAAAAAACAAACCCACCGAATCGACGGAAACAGTCGAACTTCAAAAACTCCGATGAAAGACGTTGAGGGTACAATTGATTGGAAGCGCAACATTAGACGAGCACAGATCCGTGCTCTGATACCATGTTAACAACCATCATTTTCATAGTTTCGACGACGAAGAATTTAGGGTTAGACAAAGGTAAGAGAGAAAGTTCGAGATATTTCTAATAGAATAAGCAAAATCGAATTGTTGTTTTGTTACAACCGGGTCCTTCTCTATATATACATAGCCCAATCTTGAGTAAAATAAAAGAGACTAAAAATGGACTATACCGGGCTAACTATGTTACAAAAGAAATGGGCCTAAACTAATGTACATAAATAAACAATGAATGTGCCTTAACCCGCATTCGCTTTGGCCTAGATCTAGACTCCCAACAGTTAGTTATAACATTAAGCTGATGGGAATAAATACATCAAATTAGAAAAATACAAGTATATGAAATCTAAGTTTTAAGTGACATGACATAAGCAATTATAAATGACCATTGTTTTTCTTTTGAGCTTGCACAAAAAAACTTCTATAACTCCGATTAAATTTTATATATGTCAATTTGATATGTCCACTTAATTCAGCAATAAAAATATTTTGGGAGATGAAAACAAATATATTTGGAAATATTTTCTAACTTACAAATATAGCGTGACAATGATAGGTAACAAGTAGTGTCTCCTAAAATCGCATTGAAAATATCACAACATATATTAAAAGGTAATATATGCTACAATCGTATTTGAAGTAAAAAAAAAAAAATCTATAAGTTATCATGCTAAATTTGTTTTCAACGTCACACTCTTTTGATAAAGGCTTAAATAACAAATTTACTTTGTATTTCTTCTGTCCCAATTTATATACTAGTATACTTATTTTTATAGTTTATCATACAAGATTTTCTTTTGAAAAATAATTTGTTTTTAATTTTTTAATGTTTTTCTTAATAAAATTTTATTTCTATATAAATATCTCTAGCGTATTTAAAATCACACGAATTCTTTTTTAAACTCATCTAATCAAACATCTTTCACTTATGCCTCCATTTAGAACTAGAAAGATAATCAAATTGTATCAAGAAAATAGGTAGTGTAGTTTAGCGAGAAATTGGGGGAAAAAGATGATTGTTGACCTTCAGCGCATCGCAAGGGGCACGCATCTGCTTAAGTGGCAAGGTGCTATATTCCCGTATCCATGGCGGTGACGCAAAATGCGGATTACAATATAGAGAAGGAGAACTGGCGTCTCAGTTGCCTTGGCCCTTGGTTTTGGTCCCTCCCCCAACAACTGTGCGAATAACCCACATGCTATCCTACTCTTGTCATTACCCGTTCGTTATCTTTCCCTCTCAATTTCTTAAATTGTATATAATCTAATATCCAATTCGATACTCTTTTCTCTTCCTTTCTATCTAATCCAAAACCCAAAAGCCAAAAGCCGAAAGAATTCTTTGGGTTCTTCTGCTCTAGGAAATGCGGCCTTCTACCTTTAGATTCTTCCAATGGCATCTGAGTCACAAGTCTTTCAGTTCTGTAAGTTCTTCCCTTTTACCTTACGGTGTTTTGCTCTTTTAATTATTTTTGACGGCTTTGTGATTTGCATTGAATTTTGTCAATATCGAAAACAAACACACACACGTAGAGCCTTTCCCATCATATGTGTACGCTTTTCTGGTAATCAATTGTTGATAGCTGCACGTAAACATATATTCTGCTGTCGAATTAAATTTATCTGATTCTAGGTTACTCCCCTTTTCGTGTTTTGTTTCATGATTCGACCTCAATTCTTGAGTGTGTTACATCGTGGACTTATACTGAGCTTGATATCATCCTGATTGAAAAATAATACTGAGCTTGTTATAATGAAATTCGGAATTTCTGGATAAATTTTCTAGAGGTCTATTTATTTTGGAACTCAAAATCTCTAACTAGATCAACAGTTTTTCCTACGCTACTCTGAAGTTACACTATGTCAATTACTTATGAGTAGACTTCATTCTTGTTGGGTGGTAGAGCCCTTGTTGAGTGACGGAACGTAAAATATACCCATTTTTCTTTTTCCTTACATTGATTGATATGCTTACCGACACATTAAACGAGACACGTGGATCATGTCCGGATACTGCATTTCTCAGAAAGGCGATTGCTTAGTGAATGTTTTATCATATTTTTGTTTTATATAGTGTGCATGTATGTAACTCATTTGATTAAAAAGAATTTACATGTACTTGATGCGTAGACTTCTATTTGTTGTGAATTATTTCTATAGTAAAAGGTGTTTGATTCTGTTGTTCCTGTTCCTTTCCGTTTTCTGTTTTTGGTAATTTATTTAGTTTTTTTCAAATTCAAAAATAGACTGCATATCTTGGTTAATGGAAACAAGAAGAATACCGTGATAAAACATGTGCAACTCTTTCAGACACAATAAGAAGTGAAATTACAAATACTTCTTTACAAACTAGCCCGAAAGACATGGTTGTTGGTATGTCCATGATTTCTTTAATGATTCATCATGTTGACATGGATGCGGCATCCTTTGGAAGTTTTAGAACTCTACGCAACACAGATGACTTGTTGCATGCTAAGAAAGTCTTACGCTAAGGTTATTTACAAGCTAAACCTTAACCTACCTAGGCATGATCAGCTCTTCGAGCCAAAAATCTAAGAGCACGGGTCTTGAAAAAATAAATAGAGCTTGAATCACTCATCATTCAAATGCAGATAAAGAAGATATATGATTGTTCCAAATAGAATTTCAAGGATTTATAATTTTGTTCATAGATAAGATTTTGGTAATTGAAAATTGAATCATGAACGTGAAACCATAAAAAAAGGGTGAAATATCCATATCTTCTTTGGTCCTGGGAAGCAGATGACATCCTGAAAGTTGAAACCATGATATTATATCACAGTGATGGAAAATAAGTCCAATATATTATCGTGTGATATATGTCGTGCCTGGCGGATATGATTGGTAGAGAAGTCACTAGTCAGCATATGTTGCATGAGTAGGTGTCAGTGCCTCGCAGTGGCTCAACTGCTTGTATTAGAGCTTGAGCTCTGTTCTAGGTTGATTAATAATGGACAAGTTGAGTTGTTCAGGCAGCTGTGTGTTTCACATACCTCCTGTTCTTTGGCATTTAGGAAAATAAATAGGACTAGTTGATATATTGTACTTCCACTGCCAGCATCCAGGTCCTCTTGCTTGGTCCTTTCCTTTTCTTCTCCATTTGTTTGTGAAGTTATAACTATTCCTTCGATACTCCTCAACTATTTACTTGCAACTGGCTGATAGTTAATCTACAGGCTAGCTTTTCATCCAGAGCATCATTACTATCTGCAAGCAGCAGTGGTCAAAATATAACGACTAGTCATCTCAATGGATCCTCGTCAAAGATGTATTCAACTTCATGCGAGACATTGTCCGAAGATTCACCCAAAGATAAACCTATTTCTGACATGTTGATCGATTCATTTGGAAGGCTGCACACGTATTTGAGAATATCATTGACTGAACGTTGCAATTTACGGTGCCACTACTGTATGCCAGCTGAGGGTGTAGAACTCACTCCTAGTGCTCAACTTCTATCTCAGGATGAGATTGTTCGCTTGGCAAGTTTGTTTGTTAGCTCTGGAGTGAACAAAATTCGTTTGACTGGTGGGGAACCAACTATTAGGAAGGATATCGAAGAACTTTGCTTACAACTATCAAGCTTGAAGGGTCTTAAAACCCTGGCTATGACTACAAATGGGATTACTCTAGGAAAAAAACTTCCAAAGCTGAAAGACTCTGGACTTAATTTGGTGAACATAAGCTTAGACACATTGGTTCCAGCCAAATTTGAGTTTATGACTAGGCGCAAAGGGCATCAAAGAGTAATGGAGTCAATTGATGCTGCAGTAGAGCTGGGATATAATCCTGTCAAAGTAAGTTCTCTCTAGCATGATTATATTATGTTATTCTCCCTAGAATGATGCTCCCTCCTGTGTCAGCTAACTTAATTTGGGTCTTGAGGATTTGCTTTATCATGTTTTTGGTTTATTGCCAGACTTTGGTAATTTATTTATTTGTTTAAACTTATAGACATGTGGAACAACAAATTACCAATTTAGAATAGAGAAGCAGTTCAGAAGCAATTATGATATCATGGTTAATAGGATTTGTTTGACTTTTTAAATTGTAAAAAACTGAAAAATGGGACTTAGGCAGCACTATCCTGTTTTGCTTCCTGATGATGCTCTTAAAGCTAGTTTATGCATGAAAATCTATAGCTTTAGCTTGAGGTTCGTCATAATTCAGATTGTACCTATGGAAATGGAACATCTTTTTGAGGACTAGATTTGAAGAGCAAGCTTTCTGATGAAAGCAGTTCCTCAACTGGGCCTTGATAGTCTGCTTTGGGTTACACTATTTATGTTATCTTTTGGTGTGTGCTGTACCTCAGGTAAATTGTGTTGTAATGCGTGGATTCAATGATGATGAAATTTGTGATTTTGTTGAGTTGACACGCAAAAGGCCAATCAATGTGCGGTTTATTGAGTTTATGCCGTTTGATGGGAATGTTTGGAATGTCAAGAAGCTAGTACCTTATGCTGAAATGTTGGACAAAGTGGTATGGTAGACTTTGTCAAATGTTTCTCTTATAAGTCAGTTATGTACATTACCTAAGTCACTCAATATTACTGAACAGGGTAAACAATATACAGGGCTTCTGAGAATTCAAGATCATCCCACAGAGACAGCTAAGAATTTCAGGATAGATGGGCATCAAGGCTCGGTTTCATTTATTACATCAATGACTGAGCATTTCTGTGCTGGTTGTAACAGACTGCGACTTTTAGCTGATGGAAACTTTAAAGTTTGCCTTTTTGGTCCTTCGGAGGTGAATAGCTTTATGACTAAAATTTGTGAAAACTTGCATAGGCTGTTAAGTCGTGTTGCACATATCTTCTTTTTCTCAATTAGAGCACGTCACACATTGTATTTTTTCCTTTGGTCATAAGCTCCCGCTTCTTCAATTAACACTTATAGCTCCCTTTTCCTCTCGGACAAGACATGTAACAGTGCGTTTTTCGATCCGCCACTAATGGAGAAATTTACTATATTACACGTTTTTTCCTGTCTTCCTACTCCTCTTTTCTCTTTCACAGTTCTGATGTTTCTACTTTATTACATCTTCTTCAGCTTTAATGCTACATTATCCCGTTATCAGCTCTATCCTTCTGTTTTCTCTTCTGTTCTAGCTGTTCCTATTATGGTCTTCTTTATCAGCCTGATAACTTTGGACTAACATTTTTTCTCATTGGTGAGTTTGCCAAGCAAGGAGGGAAAAAGTAGGAGATAAAGGAGAGAGAAGTTGCAATGAACTCCAACCATTAGATGCAGGAGATGAAAGAGTAGTAGCTGGGAAGAGAAGGGAGAAATTAGTAAAGCAAATAAGAAGAGTAGAGTAATGGAGCTTGGTCTAGCACTTTTACTCTGCTGCTGAAGAAAACGAAGAAAAGAATAGAGGGAAAGAGTCAATAAATAGAAGAAATGAGAAACTAGGGTATATAATATGGTGCTTTTCACTTTTCTGCTACTAGTGGATGAGAAAACTAACGGTCTTTAGGGCAAAACTAGAGGGGAATAAAGTGCCCAGAAAATCTAAAATCCAGAAGGTGTACAGTTCTCACCAAAAGCTCCACCAACGCTCCCAAGTCATATCTCCCCAGCTTAAAGAATAAAAGAACAAAAAAAAAAAGGAAGACAGGAAAGAGAGAGGTGGCAGTGTAGCACTGATGCAAGATGTCCCTTTTGTTCTTTTGCCTATGCTATCCTTTTCTGGATTTCTTCCACTAGAATATCAACTGTAGTTACTTGTTCAATTCCAGTCACTAGGGATATCCTAGGCAGAGAAAAGGAGATAAAACATGAGGATACTGCAACAACAACTACCACCCCTCGGTACTTAACAAGTTGGGGTCCGCTATATGAATCCTTCACTGATCATGTTATTCTATTTAAACTCATCTCACGCCAATATTTTATAAAATACGAATAATAATAAAAATTAAAATAAGAAGTACTAAAAGTTCAATTTCCTTGTAAAACATGTGGATGAAGATCCATATTTGACTATCTTGTATTCTTGTCTCATGAAATTTGTATGCTTTTGTGTGCAATTAAGAGTTGGATAAAAATAAATTGCCGTAAAATTTACCCGTAGGTTCGTCCTATCAACTATATATTGTCATATCTGTAGACCTCATTTCTGATGGTAAAAGCTGCATCGTCGTCCCGCACGACTTACTATTTTGATTATAAGTTAGTGTAATGATTCTTATTTTGTATACAATTCATCAACTATGCAGTACCTTTTCCTCATTCCTGTTCTATCTATCCCGATTGGTTGAAGAGTCTAGAAGAAGGAATTATTTGGTCAGGTGAACCAATGATATTCATATGATGTAAATGCAGCTTCGTGAAATTCCTCTATAAACTTTGTCCCATCAGTGCTTCCTAGATTCCTTTGTTTTAGGCCTTTTATTTTTCAATTCCGGTTAATTCTAGGGGATTCAATTTCATATAGATTAGACTGTAGCTTCATTAATTACTGAATTTTCATTGTCTCTACACCTGCTGTTGTTTGGGATTATTACTATGGCTCGACAAAACTTTATTTTAGAAATCATGAAGTGGGTGTACTTCCTTGTGTTACAACTATTTTTTCTTTTATTTTTGTTTTCTCCAGGTGAGCTTGAGGGATCCTCTTCGTCTTGGTGAAGGTGATGATAAACTTAGGGAGATCATTGGGGCAGCGGTATGTAGCTACTAATGCATTCCAACACTATTTGTTGCTTACATCTTTGCTATTTGTGTCTTTTTCTTTTGTTCCTCATATTTTGCAGGGTCATCCTGTCATCAGGGCAAGATAAACTGCCTTTCATATTGTTTTTAGCATTTAGGATTCATTTGGCATTTACAATATTATCTACATTTGTTTTGATTCATTTGTTCTATTTCAGGTCAAAAGGAAGAAAGCTTCTCATGCTGGGATGTTTGATATTGCAAAAACTCCAAATAGGCCGATGATACATATTGGTGGATGATGGATGGAATATATTGGGTTTCGGTGCTCATCACTGAATTGTACAATGATGTATGTATGCTATTTGTTGGTCAATTTAAGCACCTTCCCGTAATTTCTCTTCAATACTTTATTTAAAGTTTGGGTGGCCTTATCTGTTTCTTGTCACTGCATGTTGAGGAAACACAGTTTGACTACAGTTATAGCATCTCATAAATAGTGAAATTTGCCTGCATAAATTTTTCTGAATCTTAGAGGTTTTGTAGTTATTTGATCCTGAGCTAGATCAGTATATATCTCAACTGGCTCTTAGGAATTTGCTCCTCTTGTGGTTGTAGATATATTTTTGCTTGTAAATTTGATAAGCACTTTCCTTCAGTCAATTGGTCCCAAGTCCCAACTCAATTGGGTTATAAGAGTCTGACATTAAGACAAGAAAAATACAATTCCATATTTCCAATATCACGTTATCATGCTACTGACTAATTTGACCAAATTGTGGTAACTTATTGGAAATATTAGAAATGTCTTTTCCTTTCTTGACCTGAATAGTGAGTCATGAGATGTTTCATTGAGAGCCTTGTAAGCCTGAACCCAAGGTTTTACGTTTGCGTTTATGCTTATCCAAGTCAGATAAAGATAGTTGACCATTTAGGAAATACATCAATCATTGGTTTTGGTGGATTTAATTCTTTGCTTTTGTATAAACATATTTCTTTCAGGGATGGCTGCATAAATAACTAGGTGAAGTATTGGAATTCAGAGGTTCGTTTGGGAACCTTTTGTTTCGAATCTGACCAGACTTCATATTCAATTTTTGTAATAGGTACATTAAGAAGAGCTTGCACAACTTGACTCGAAATATATTCCCCACGGGCTTTGGTCTAGTCGTAAGAGCGCAGTGCGTGATGTGTGGGTTAGACGCACGTCACGAGACAAAAGCCTAGTATTTAAGGGGAGAAAGGTAGAGGGGCGGGCCTGTTATCCACTGAGTTTCGAACCCTCTGACTGGCCCACGGGGATTTCTCGATTATAAAAAGTGCTTGAAGTGTGTTACTATATATTATATTCGTATTCTGTGTTGATGTACGAGTCAACATTATCTGTCTGCGATAATAGCAATAACTGAACAAACCCGTTTACCTCGTATGTTATTTGCTTTTTGTTGGCTGCAGTGCAGGAAGGTAATGAGTGCTGCGGTGGTTAGTGCTACTGCATAAACGTTTTGGCTATTTTGTGTTTCAGTATTAGGTCCGTATTGAGATGGGAGTAGGCCTATCAAGCTGGTCTTTCGCTTGGGAATTTTGTGTTATTTAAGATGCTGTTGGTAGAGTATCAACCCAATTAGCTAATTGTACATGAAACAGTTTGCAACCTGTTTTAGATTCGACGATTGCTTTGAACTCCACTTAATGTATCTGTTATGATAGTTGTTCAAAAGGAACGAGTGCGATCTTATCCATTGTCTTAGAGTCGAAGATTGCTTTGCTCTTCACTTAATGCATCTGTCATGATAGTTATGCAAAAGGAACAAGTGTGACCTTCTAGTACTGTATTTAGATGTTGACAATATGGTTAAAGCATTGGTTTACACATCCGTTTGGAAATGTCTTTAGAAGATAAGAGTTGGTCTTCACAAATGGAAGTCATTATCGTGAGGCTAGAGTATGAAAGTGGGCTACTTGAGTGCTAGTCTTCACTAAGCATAAAACCTGGAGATGAAGTTCATTCGGTAATGGGCATTCTCCTACAATAATAAGTCTGTCAGAATTATTTCATCTCTATTTACTCATTAATACTCTATTTGTTTTACTTAATATGCATCATCCATGTTAAATTTTTCTTTCTCGTATCGAAGATCTTTCAACTTTCAGCAATGATGCAATTTTTCACTTTACTTTGCAGGTATGTAACATCAAAGAAACCAGGAAAAACGAGAAATATAGGAGCAGAAAACAGAGAGGAAGGTGACCCAACAGGTGAAAATGCTCGACTTAAGCAAGTAACCTACAATTTGGATTTTTGAGGCTGTATATGTGCATGTTTTAAAACCACGAAACATAGTGAGGCATATACTTAAAGATCCGTGTATCCCTACATAGTAGTGTTTTTCTTGTGTGAAATTAAGAAATTTATACGTATTACATGTACAACTTCTGAGCAGGCTGTTTTCCTTTTGAACTACATGTTAATTGTGTCTCTGTTGCTACATTTATGTGCTATTACTTAAAGAAAAAGGAAACAAAGACATTTGTTGTACTCTATTTCAGATCTTGCCAGAAAACGAAAACATTGGACGTTTGTACTTTGTAGCCGTTCTTATCAATAGTGCAAAGTTTGGTTAAAAAGAAGGCAACATGATTGATTGTTGCCTCGTTTTGACAAGAATTATGCTTCTTAATATAAATTTGGAAAAATAGTTCAAATTCTTCTCCTTCTGCTTATTTTGTAATTGAACCTCTCTTATGCTTTGCGTCTTTGAAATAAACTCCCTGTCCTTTCTTTAATTTTTTTTTGTAACAGTTGTTTTAATCTACTTATTTATTGCAACATTTTGCAAGTTGACTAGTTAGACCAAAATGGTACTAATTCGTATCGGTGTAATCTTATTGCACATGGGGTCTTCTCACACTTTGCTTCTTGATAAAAGAACAATAGTAGTACCAGATTTTCTCTAGTTCAAGACATGTTACCAGGTAGTATTAAATAGTAAAAACACTAGAATTTAACTAGCATTTCGAGATAAACTTATTCTGATTGAGAACAGGACAGCAGAGAATTTGCACTGTTCTTGGACTACGCAAGTAAATTAGTTATTAATTCTCCAAAATTCAGAATTTCTACTTCCTTGTGGTGAACTTATAAATTTCACTCTTTAACTCGGCAACTTCTAATTGATTTACTCTTTGTGAACGGTTGAGGTAATATATACGCATTATGTCGATCATGTCCTACAAGCTTTTCATGTCAGATGCAGTCAGCGACGAAATTCGGAATTTCTTCAAGGATATTTAAATTTTAAAAAAGTGAAAATTTTTATTGACAAGGGGTGTTCAATGTGTATTATATACTTCTAAAATGTAATATTTTACTTATGTATACAGTGCAATCGCGCAGTGCAAGAATTTCATAAAACATTTTGAACGGACAGATATGTGAAAATCATATCATAGGTAACGTCTTAGATAACATATGCTGCCGTAAGGAAAGTGATATAATACAAAGATACATGGCAGAAGCTTACCATTGGTAGGTATATTGACTTGATGGCAGCCGCCTTTGTAATTAACTGTCATGTTTACTTAATAGATTAGTTAATCTCAAGAGTCAAGTCAACTTATATTAAATCTACTGATTTCCATCTCTATCCCTTTTGTATTATTATTATTTTTATCTTTAAAATACCATGGAACACAAACTTGTGTAATATTTTTAAGTAATAAAGCACCGTCAAGAAGGTGATGGATTCCCTCCTCAAGAGAGTCAGCTTTAAGATGGCATTAGGGAGGAGTTTTAACCTCTTCTTCTCAACTTGTTGCAATTTTTTAGATTTTCTTAATTAGTATTAATTTGATGTTATCACTTGGCTAATGTGGAAGCGTAGTAGGTGGTGTTTCCTAATTTAATCATGCTAATTAAGTTTAGAAGGATTATATTGCAATATCATACTCAGATGCAGTCCCCTTTGTCATGTTTTAACCAACTTACATCTACTAGCTAGCTAGACTAGGATTAAAAAGAAAAAGAAATTAACTTGACTAGGATTATATATACTTATCTCTGGAATTAATTTCTCATACAGTCATACAATAGGGTGGTTGCAATTGTATTCTCATTTTCCCTACTTTTCTAATCTTCTGCCTCCTCCTCCGATATCCACTATGTAATAGTTTTCCTTTTCTTTCAAAAATTAAACGGGCAAAAGATTATTTCTAGCGTCCATTTCTTTTTACCTAAAATATTTTAGACTAATGCAAACATGATACCTATATTTCTTAGTTATGTAATTCTTTGTTAAGACTTTAATTTAAATGGAGATCATGGGGTTCCACAACAAAATAGATATTGTGGACGACAATGTGAAACGACTTTTGGATTTAATTTTAACGCTACAAGTTTTAGGGCTAGCATTTTATAACATAAAGTCAAGTGTTCCCATAAAAAGTAAACTAGAGCAACTTGCAGCTAAGAGCTTAAGTACTTAACCTCTGTTCGAGTGTCAATTTCACTAATTTTTGAAGCTAAATTGGATAAGATTAATTCAATATTTAAAAATTATAATTTAAATATTTAAAATTATACAAAAAGTGTTATGATTTATAATTCTTCTTATATCAATATGGTGAAAAAGTATACGTTAACATATTAGTTATAGTTTATGTAATTTGACTATTGCGAAACTAAACATGATAAATATTTTTTGGGACGGAGGAGTAATATGAAAAACGAAATGAATCCACATTACGTGAAAATGTATCTATGATTGTCATGTCAAAAAATAAAATTAGTAAATATGTATATCTACACGTCAGAAAAAACATACTATCTTCTTAGCCAACACAGCTACAACTTCAAGTTTTGACACCCGATCACCAACCCTATCCTTTCACTTGGTTGTATAAAATAGAAGAGAAAAAAATGAAACTATTATGACTTGACCTATATATCAATATCCATGATAAGTTTCTTTCATTTTTAATATGGATATATAGAGTACTTTCCACATAAGCTTGGAATTACTATAGTCGCTCTAGGCTTCAATGAGAATCATTCTATGTAATGCATTAATGCTTATTTTCGCAAAATTTCAAGGTTCAAAAAAATTAAATGTACAATTTGGATAGTGATATATTAAAAATAATCTCCAAAATAAGGTTCACATAAGTGAAATTTATATAATTTGGACCGTGAAAATCATTCATCGAACAAGCATATTTCCATGTACATTGCCAACCCACGGAATGTGAGGGGATTCCTATAGTTAAAGGTTCTTTAAATAAGAAAACAAGATTTAAAAATAACAAGTTGCTTCTCTCTAAAGATCCACAAAACCTTTACGCTAATAAATACGCAGATACATATAGGTTATTGTATTTTCACCAACATCATTATACATATTGAGTGAAATAAATGCTATGCTCAATATGTTGTTTTAAGTCAATTATCAAAATTTTCATGCTCCAAATAGAGATCAAGCAATTAAAATCCTTTAATTTGCTCATGGTCATGGAAAAAGTGAATACCAACACTAGGGCAACAACAAGAGCTTTCAATGCTTAGAAAAAAATAATAGAGTTAAGAGGAGGTGATGAAAAAGAAAATCAAAGAATAAGAAAAGATGTTAACAATTACAAACACAAATGAAGAAACATTATATTCACATGAATGAATCTCTATACAAAATGGAGAAAACAAGATATGAATCAACATCACTCTATCCCCGCTCCAAATCCAACCCCCAAAAATGAAAAATATATATGATCAAGAAGTCATATAGAGTCACCCAATTCCTGCACACTATTCAGTTAAGATATTAGAAAGCTTTGAATTCCTTTTTCTCAAGAACACATATAAGAAAATTCTTCTTCTTACTTAGCAAAGGGGCACCTCACCAAACATATTAATCGGTGTAGACAGCTTGAAAGGAAACAAAGGAAATTCACTTAAGTCTTGAATAAATCCCTCCATTCCAAAACCACTCAAAAAACCATTTGATGAATTTTCAGCACTTCCATATGATATACCTTCACTTTCTTCCTCTTTCATCCTATAATTAATATCTTGTAACATGTTCATATGTTGATGATGCTGATGATAATGATGATTTTGTGGTGACAATTCTATGTTCTTCCTTTGATTTCTGTCTTTCTTCGTCTTTTTTTCTTTGACTTGTGCAGCATTCTTCCCCGTGAGCCTTTGTACAAGCTCGCGAAAATTCTCTACGTCCGTTTTGATGATCTCTGGTGCTACTATATGAATTATTCGTATTTTTGGCTTCAATTTGGTTATTGTGTGTGAATCTTTATGCATGCTGTGTTTAGAACAACTTGGGCTAATGGTTTCACTTGTGATTTGCTTCATCTTCTCCCTTTCAAGCAACAAAAGTTTGGAATTGAGAGAAGGAAATAAAGAGAGAAAGGATGTTGGTAATGTTGGAGGAACAGTGAGAAGGTATTTAAATAGGAGCAGTACTTGAGGGTTGAAATTAGTTTGGAAAATAATTAAAGATCCAAGTTTTGCCTTTTGGAAGCAAGAATTAGACGGTTTTTTCTCATTCTAAGAGGCTAAAATAATGTACCAAAGTACCAAATAATTTAATAATCCATGTTTTATGTGTAGAATTGGGTTTCTCTTAGTTCATTTTTTTTTTAATTTACCAACTTTTTCTTCTCCTCCTTTTCCTACAAGAAATATAGTATTTTGAGTTTATGTGATGTTAACATACTGTATTAATTTAATCTCAAACACAGTTTAAATAATGCTACTTTTCATACCATTTGTATTATTTATTTTCTTTATACCATCAAAGGCAAACCTCAAGAGCACCGACCGCCTACTGCCTTTGATAGTGATCTATTGTTGGAGGATTTTACCATCTTCTTATCGACTTCTTGTACCTCGTTTTATAATTTTCTTACCACGTAGTTACAATTTTTTAATATGTTACAAATTAATGTTTATCATACAAATTTATCCATACTTACCTTATTAATGATTTAATTTTGTAAATATATCCAAGTATGTTGACAGTGCTATTGGTTAGGATATACTAATGCTATTGGTAAATAAAAAAGGATTCATGTTCAAAGCTTACGGTACCATAAATAGGAAACAATGGAAAAAAAATCATTTTTAACATCTGTACAACGACTTTGCTAGGTGCTACGTTTACCGTTGACAACAATGGATAAAATATCTGAAATATAGGAATTTTTTTTTACTTTCTTGTAGGTAGTAATTAAATTAATTTTATTGGCAAATTGATTTATAGTATCAGTTCCACGTCTTCTGAATTCATTTCTCTTTCCAAAATTAGCAACTTGTAGCATAGCTGTCAGCGAGTATTAGGGTTTAGCACTCAAGCTCTTGGTTGGAAATTGCTTTATTTAACTAATTGACTTTATAATTAGTTCTAAGTTTGTCAAGAAAAATATTATGGGTTTGGGAACTATTGACTTTATGCTATAATATTCTCTAAAACTCCTAGTGTCAAAAATTAAATCCCAAATTTCCTTGTTAACACATTATTGTCCGCACATTATGCTGTTGTGGAACCCCTTGATCCCTAAAGTCTTACAACT